TTATTATTATTATTATTATGTTTTGGTATCACTATCTCTAGGATAGGTGGGAAAAATGCAAGATCGGCCATGGCAAGATTCTTGCATTTTAATTATATAGAAACGTTTAGGAATGTGCGTACAATAGAGGTAGTGGATAGTATCACTGCCTTTTGGATAATCGCTAATTTATTGGCAATTTCCAGCATCCTCAGATTGTTAGTGAGTGACTTTGGTACTACACCGGTGGAAGATATAATCAACGGGACTACAGACACACTCTCCTGGCGCCACATTTGTTGAATTTCCTGCCCAAGTCTCTGGTACTTTGCTTCCTTCTCAGCGTAGTAAGTCAAGATGTTGTGACCATTTGGGATTCCTATGTCAATTAACAAAACTCGTTTTCTTGATTTATCAACGATGATGATGTCTGGCCTATTGTGAACTATAGTACGGTCTGTTATTATTATTATTATTATTATTATTATTATTATTATTATTATTATTATTATTATTATTATTATTATTATTATTATTATTATTATTATTATTATTATTATTATTATTATTATTATTATTATTATTATTATTATTATTATTATTATTATTATTATTATTATTATTATTATTATTATTATTTGTTTAGGATAGGCTGTTGATGCAAGTATCGGCCGGGGCAAGATACTTGTATTTGGTTCATACAGATACATTTAAAAATGAGCGCACTATTGATGTAGTGTATAGTATTACTGCTTTTTGGATTGGTGTTATTTTGTCGGCAATTCCTAAAATCCTTAAATTGTTAGTTAGTGACTTGGGTACTACGCCGGTTGATGATATCAGTGGGACTACAGATACACTCTCCTGGCGCCACATTTGTTGGATTTCCTGCCCAAGTCTCAGGTATTTTGTTTCTTTCTCCGCGTAATAGGTTTGGATGTTATGATTGTTTGGGATTCCCACGTCGATCAGTACAACTTTGTTTTCACTTTTATCGGCGATGATAATGTCAGGCCTATTGTGGACCACTGTGTGGTCTGTTAGTACTGATCTATCCCAATACAATTTGTGTGTATTGTTTTCCAAGACAGGACACGGCTCGTATTGGTAATATGGTTTTTCTTCGCTCAGGAGGCTATACTTCAGCGCCAGGCTTTGATGAATAATCTTAGCTACCTGATTGTGCCTCGACAGATATTCTATCGGTACCAAGATAGGGCAAGCGCTTGTTATATGCTGGATGGTCTCGGGATGTTGGTGACACTTTCTGCATAAGTCATCCTCTATTTCAGCTCTTATTATATATTTACGATAGTTTTTGGTAGCTATGACCTGGTCTTGGATGGCTATCATAAATCCCTCCGTCTCTGCAAATATGTCAGCTCGTCCCAACCACCCATTTGATGCCTTAGTGTCGATATAAGGCTGGTTGAGGATATTTGCATGTCGGCCATGAAGGGGTTTTGAGGCCCAGTCCTCTTTTTTCCCTTGAATATAGGTTTCATCCGAGCCTACTTCTATGCTGTCGTGCAGCAGGTCTAAGGGTTTGTATTTATTGTCCGACTTTTTAACTGCTTGGTAGAGGGCGGTGTCCTGTCTATGGAAATATTTTTGCGGTCCCTTCGTCTGCTTGTGACACAGCCTACTGATGTCAACCATACCGCGACCTCCTTCATAGCGGGGAAGGGTTAGCCGTTCAAGTGCCGATTTAGGGTGATGTATTCTATGCTTTGTCATTAGTTTACGCGTGGTTCTTTCAATGTCTCCTATATCAGTTTCTGTCCACTTAACCACTCCAAAAGTATAGGTCAGAACTGGAATAGCAAACGTGTTTATGGCCTTGACTACATTCTTCCCGATTAAGGAGGATTTAAGGATATCACTCAATCTTTTCAAGTATATTTCCGTTACTCGGTGTCGGATCTCCTTATGTTTTACTCGCTTAGATTATTATTATTATTATTATTATTATTATTATTATTATTATTATTATTATTATTATTATTATTATTATTATTATTATTATTATTATTATTATTATTATTATTATTATTATTATTATTATTATTATTATTATTATTATTATTATTATTATTATTATTATTATTATTATTATTATTATTATTATTATTATTATTATTATTATTATTATTATTATTATTATTATTATTATTATTATTATTATTATTATTATTATTATTATTATTATTATTATTATTATTATTATTATTATTATTATTATTATTATTATTATTATTATTATTATTATTATTATTATTATTATTATTATTATTATTATTATTATTATTATTATTATTATTATTATTATTATTATTATTATTATTATTATTATTATTATTATAATATTATTATTATTATTATTATTATTAGAAGGTAAGAATTCAAGTACACTACCTGTTCAAAATGGTGTACCGCAGGGATCTGTTCTGGGACCAATTCTTTTTATCCTTTATATCAATGACCTACCTAAAGCCATCGATAAAGGTACCAGCCTCCTTTTTGCGGACGATTTCACCGTCCTATCTAGAAATAATTTGGTTACTACAGCTACCTATCTTCAAGATGCCAAAAATTGGTTTACAGCAAACGGCTTGTTGCTCAATGAAAACAAGACAAATCAAATTCTGTTTAGCTCAGATAAGCTGGCGGAAAGATCGAAGCCAGTAAAACTACTCGGGATCACTTTAGACACCAGTCTGAATTGGTCGGCTCAGACTGATGATCTTTGCTCAAAGCTAGCATTACAAATCTTTATAATGAGACAATTGAGACCATATCTAGATGACCATGCTATGCAGACGGTATATTTTGCTCTGGTCCAGAGTTTCTCTACCTATGGACTACTGTTATGGGGAAGAAGTAGTTCTCTTCAAAGAGTTTTTATCTATCAAAAAGCGGCTATTCGAGTAATAGGCAGAGTTCCATACGGAACGCATTGTAAAGATTTATTTAAAACTTATAAAATTCTCCCACTGCCTTGTTTGTATATCCTAGAAACATTAACATACACGCACGAAAATAGTCAAAACATACCGGCGCATTCGGATATGCATGATTATAATACAAGACAGCGGGATAATTTTGTAATGCCTTTTTCAAGAATTAAAATAACACAAAATAACAAAATCGACTATAATCTTTACAACAAGTTTGTCAACTATAATCAAAATCATAACATTAAAAACCTAAGTCCTAACACATTTCGTAGGAATGCCAAAAACTTTTTGCTGGAGCACTGCTTCTACTCTATACAAGAATTTTTAAACTACCTGTAAAATATGAATTTATAATATGACTATTTACTGTTTCACGTACTTACTTTAATACTTTATACACTTATACAATTTTATTTTTCATATTGTGACACAAAATATACTTTTGTATGTAAAAATGTCAATAAAAATATCTATCTATCTATCTATCTATCTATCTATCTATCTATCTATCTATCTATCTATCTATCTATCTATTATTATTATTATTATTATTATTATTATTATTATTATTATTATTATTATTATTATTATTATTATTATTATTATTATTATTATTATTATTATTATTATTATTATTATTATTATTATTATTATTATTATTATTATTATTATTATTATTATTATTATTATTATTATTATTATTATTATTATTATTATTATTATTATTATTATTATTATTATTATTATTATTATTATTATTATTATTATTATTATTATTATTATTATTATTATTATTATTATTATTATTATTATTATTATTATTATTATTATTATTATTATTATTATTATTATTATTATTATTATTATTATTATTATTATTATTATTATTATTATTATTATTATTATTATTATTATTATTATTATTATTATTATTATTATTATTATTATTATTATTATTATTATTATTATTATTATTATTATTATTATTATTATTATTATTATTATTATTATTATTATTATTATTATTATTATTATTATTATTATTATTATTATTATTATTATTATTATTATTATTATTATTATTATTATTATTATTATTATTATTATTATTATTATTATTATTATTATTATTATTATTATTATTATTATTATTATTATTATTATTATTATTATTATTATTATTATTATTATTATTATTATTATTATTATTATTATTATTATTATTATTATTATTATTATTATTATTATTATTATTATTATTATTATTATTATTATTATTATTATTATTATTATTATTATTATTATTATTATTATTATTATTATTATTATTATTATTATTATTATTATTATTATTATTATTATTATTATTATTATTATTATTATTATTATTATTATTATTATTATTATTATTATTATTATTATTATTATTATTATTATTATTATTATTATTATTATTATTATTATTATTATTATTATTATTATTATTATTATTATTATTATTATTATTATTATTTTTTTTTTTTTTTTTTTTTTTTTTTTGTCACGCACTTAGTGCGGCTTGAATGTTTCTGTGCCGGTGATACAATATCACAAAGCACAGGCATTACCGAGATTCTTCTATTTTAATTCTTTGATTTAATGCCTTTCGCATTATGTTGCAAGTTGACAGAATGACTGCCTTCTGTAGTTGCATCGAGAGACTGTTATGTAGTCCAGCAGCTTCGAGATTCTTTTTTAGTTTTTTTTTTTTTTTTTTTTTTTTATTATTATTATTATTATTATTATTATTATTATTATTATTATTATTATTATTATTATTATTATTATTATTATTATTATTATTATTATTATTATTATTATTATTATTATTATTATTATTATTATTATTATTATTATTATTATTATTATTATTATTATTATTATTATTATTATTATTATTATTATTATTATTATTATTATTATTATTATTATTATTATTATTATTATTAATTATTTATTATTATTATTATTATTATTATTATTATTATTATTATTATTATTATTATTATTCTGGTGTGGAGTTGCCAATCTCCCATCCAGCGCGTCCCCGGGTGGTGGATAGGGGAAGGCTTCCCAAATATGGGTGGTACCGATGAAATCAAATAGTCGGCGCGAACCAAAATTGGCACTAAGGAGTAAACCTTGGAAAAAATCTCCCAACGCTAAGCTGTAGACCGTGGCGAGGGTGTGCGTGAGTGCGTGACTCCGGGAAAGAGGGAGCCACAAACGGTCACCCGGCATCATGGCGAGGGGTGTGCGGGACGTAGGCGCAAGCAAGGCCTTAGTGAGGTAAGAGCGCACTGCCTCACTGGACACATTATTTCGGCCCGACTCGTGGGAATAGATGGAAATTAGCACACAAACAAATATTAATATAGAAGACACAAAAATACAAAAACATAAAGAGAAGGAGGAAAATAGTAACAAAATAGAGATGGAGGAAAATAGTAATAAAATAGAGATGGAGGAAAATAGTAACAAAATAGAGATGGGGGAAAATAGTAATATAACAACAAACATAACTGAAGAAAATGGTAACAGAACACCTGAAGATATTGAGGACAATGATAACCCTTTTGAAAGACGACCTTCAATACATAGAACACCGACAGGACTAAGTAGATGGCTAAAAAACGAAGAAAATAGCTTGAAACAGGCCTCCAAGAGGGCAAGACAAGAAACCCCACCCGCAGGGCAAGTAGTAAAGGAATCATCAGACATTCTAGAAAAAAAGCAAATAATGACTCGAGTCACAGAAACCAGCAAGGAACTAATGGCGTTAATGAGAGATACACCAAAAACGAAAACTGAAATAAAAAATATTGCCTTAAGCCTGAACAGAAGCGTAGAATCACTACAACGCAGAATTAATGAGTATGAAGAAGAAAAGACCGAACCACAAGTAATAAAGGTAAAAAATCTAAACTCAGTGGGGACCCAAGTTAACGAAGAAGAGCTAAAGAAGGAAAATAACAAAAGAAAAGAAGAAATCAATACTGAAATATTGAGTACTCTTGAGACCCAAACTACCATAGAAAAGCTGAAGAACATAATAGACTATGACTGGCCTGAAGAAGCCTACACGAAAACAAAAATAATAAAAGGCGAGCTTGCTGACATGACAATTAATGAGGACGTAGCATTTATTACCAATATTAACGGAATAAACACAGAGGAAATTGGGAAGAAGCACCCAGAAGCAGCACAAATAATTAAAGAAGGATTAACAGAAGGACAAGTGGAATACATAAAGAGAAATATAAAAATACAAAGCAGCAAAGGAGATATGGGACAAACAAGCAACATGAATATTATAATACCTTATAAAATGGATGACACTGGAATCACAGAAGTGGAAAGCCTTCATGACATACTTATAAAACTGTTGAGACTGCTAGAGACAGAGAATAAAAACCGTATAATAATTAGTGCTACAGGGGGCTTAATAGACGGTGACTACTTGAGGAAATCACTGGAATATATATTTCACAAAACAGAAATAAATGCCTTAATATTAGTGAATAAGGGAATAAAAAAGAGAAAAACAACACTAGTGCAAAGAAAAGAAAATCAAACAGAGAAACTGATCATTAAAGCAGAAGGTAAATCATATGCAGAATTGCTTAAAGACGTGAAGGGAACTGTAAAATTAGAAGAAACCGGGATAGAAGTTAAGACAATAAAAAAAACTAATAGGGGAGACTTGTTTCTGGAGATACAAGGAAATAAAGAAAAAGCTGTCGCGCTTAAGGAAATAATAAAAACTAGTAATGCCAATACAGATGTCACAATTAAGACAAACGACATAATCCTCCACATCACAGATATTGATGCCAGTATCGGAGAGCAGGAACTCAAAATGGAACTACTAAACAAAAGGCAAGAACTGAAAGAGGATGATATAAAGGTGCTATCCATACGTCCCACTCAAAACGGCAACCAAACGGCTACAGTAGCCATGAAGAAAGAAGTAGCAATAGATATTGCTAATAGAGGAAAGATTAAGATTGGATGGATCAATTGCAGAGTCAGACAAAGAGTGCACATGACCAGGTGCTTTAGGTGCCTCCAGTTCGGTCATACAAGAAAGGACTGCCAGGAAGAAGACAGAAGCGACCTCTGCTTAAAATGCGGAAAAGCGGGACATAAAGTTAAAGAATGTGAAAACCCCCCTTTCTGCTTAACATGCAGGATAGAAGGACACAGACAAGATCAGACAAGCTGCCCACATTATAGAAATATAATCAGAGAAAGACAAAGGACGCTATCTACAGCAAGCAGCGTATTTCGTAGATAAAAATAAATATAAAAATACTACAAACGAATCTGGGTAGAGGGCGGGTTGCACACGATATTGCATATAAAGTAACGATTGAAAGGGAAGTAGACTTATTAGTAGTAGGAGAACCAAATAAAAATATAATAAAAGGGGCGGGCTGGGTATCAGATGATAAAGGAGATGTTGCAGCATATGTTCAGAACCGTAATGTGGGTATTCGCTCCATAAAAAAATTCGAAAGCTATCTGGGTCTAAACTTTGCCGAATTTACAATGTACTGCTGTTACATATCCCCAAATATATCACTGCAGGAATATAAAGAGATCGTAGACAACATTATGACTGAAATTGAAGAAAATCCAAAGGAGATTGTGCTGATGGGGGATATTAACTCAAAGTCCCCAGAATGGGGTTCTCCGATACTTGATAAGAGGGGAGAATATTGGACAGAATGGATGGCACAACTTAATATGGTAGTAAATAATACTGGGGACACTCCAACCTTCATCAGAGGGGATAGTAAATCATACATAGACGTCACATGTAGTTCACAGAAAATGGCAAAAAGAATAACGGAGTGGCATATCTTGAACGAGGAAGAGGTAATGACATATCATCAGTATATCTGCTTTGAAATAAAAACCAAGGAAAAGGTACAACGTATAGAGGAAAACAGAAAACCCATCTTCTATCAAGAGAAATTCAAATCCGAAATCAGAGATAAAAAAACAGAACTCGAAAATGCATCACTGGCAAAATTAACAGCAGTTATGACAAATGCCTTAAAAAACAGCAGCTCATGGGGAAAAGGAAAAGCAGGAGTCTCAGTTCCTTATTGGTGGAACCAAGAAATAGAAAGTAAAAGGAGAGAATGTACGTTGGCAAGAAGACTAATAACCCGCGCAAAAAAAAATCAAAGAACCCCTGAGGAAAACCTGAACAGGCTTGCTGACGAACTTAAAAATCATAGAAGAGAACTCAAAAAGCTGATAAACCAATCAAAAAAAGAAAACTGGATGAAATTGTGTAAGGAGTTAGATGAGGACATATGGGGACAGGGGTATCAGATTGCAACAAGGTAGATAAAACAAATAAGAATGCCGTTTAACTTAACAATCGAACAGAAAAAAGAAATAGCCAAGAAACTCTTTCCGGAAACCACTATAAAAGGAGATAGAACTACCGAAAAGGTCGACAACATCCCAAAATTCACTCTGAAAGAGCTGAGGGAGGCGGGAGAAAGAATTAAAACTGGAAAGGCGCCAGGACCCGATGGATTACCCCCCGAAGCAATGAAAATTGTGCTGAATGAAGTGCCAGACGCAGTGCTAACTGTACTCAATGAACTCTTAAGGGATCAGGAATTCCCAAATGAATGGAAATTAGCACGACTTATTATAGTCTGGAAGATTGGGAAACCTATAGAAGAGCCTTCCTCTTACAGGCCAATATGTCTAATAAATGTAATCTGTAAGATATACGAAAGCATGCTTAGGAAAAGACTAGAAGAAGAACTAGAAGAAAGGGGCGGCCTGTCAGACTCCCAATATGGATTTCGAAAAGGTAGATCCACAGTAAACGCAGTCAATTGGGTGATAGACAAAACAAGAAACACGAAGCAAAAATGGGTAGTACTAGTATTATTGGACATAAAAAATGCTTTTAATACTGCAAACTGGGAAATGATTTTGAGGGCTATGGAAAGAAAGAGAATTTCAAGGTACCTCATTAATGTTATTAGCAGCTACCTAAAAAATAGGAGTGTTCTTATCTCAAAAAATGACACAATGGAGGTCAGTCAAGGGGTACCTCAAGGATCAGTTATAGGACCCACATTGTGGAATATTTTGTATGATGATGTTCTGAACCTGGACCTAGGAGATCAAACCAAAGAAGTTGCCTATGCTGACGATCTAGGAGTGTACTGTGAGGCAGAAAACATAGAAGACATACAATTTGTGGTAAACGATGCCCTTAGCAGAATTTGTAGGTGGATGGAGAAACATAATTTAGAAATCGCAGAACATAAAACAGAACTAATTGTGCTCAAGGGACCAAGAAAGAGGGATACAATCTCATTCAGACTCAAAGACATAAACATCAGACCATCTAAACGAGTAACGTATCTTGGAATTGTATTGGACGAACGTCTTAAATTTGGAGAACATGTCAAAGAAATTACAAGAAAGGCTGAAGCAAGAACATCAATGCTTATGCGAGTAATGCCAAACATGGGGGGACCAAACAGCTATAAGAGACTAATGCTATACGGAGTTACACAATCGATCCTACTTTACGGTTCACCTATATGGGGAGAAGTGACACAAATTAAAAAATATTTTAATATGCTGGAAAGGGCACAGAGAAAAATGCTATTAAGAGTTGCAAGCGCTTACAGAACGGTTTCTAACCAGGCATTACAAGTCATTACAGGAGCACCACCAATTGATATCATGATAACAGAAAGACAGATACTGCATAATACGGGCGCAGGCCAAAACATAGAAGGCAGGAGAGCAACCAGACTGGAAACAATAGAAAAATGGCAAAAAAGATGGGAAGAAAACCGGGTAACAGGCCAATGGACTAAAAAACTGATTCCAGATTTAAGGGTATGGTTTAATTGCAAGTTTCGTAGAGTAGATTACTTTACCACCCAATTTCTAACGGGACACGGATCTTTTAAACAATACGCTAAAAGAATGGAAAAATCAAATGACGATCTATGTATGTACTGCGGTGAAGTGGATACGGTTGAGCACACTATATTTAACTGCGAACGGTGGAGTAACGAAAGGATTAGCATTGGAATAAAAACTGGAGAAGAATTGACAGCCAATAATATAATAAACGTAATGATAAGAGACAAAAACACATTTAACACTATTTACGAACACATAAGAGAAATAGTCAGAAAAAAAGAGAAGGATAGAAGAGCGGCTGAGATATAGGAAAGACAGGCAGTGAGGCTGACGGAATGTCCTTTAAGACGATACCGGTTTCATTGCTAGAGCAGTGAGGTGTTTTAGTGGGTAGAGCAAGCTAGATGACCTGCGAGTCCCACACTCCCACCAGTTTGGGGTGCGTAAGTGCATTTCACCTCACCCAAAAAAAAAAAAAAAAAATTATTATTATTATTATTATTATTATTATTATTATTATTTATTATTATTATTATAATTATTATTATTATTATTAATTATTATTATTATTAATTATTATTATTATTATTAATTATTATTATTATTAGTATTATTATTATTATTATTATTATTATTATTATTATTATTATTATTATTATTATTATTATTATTATTATTATTATTATTATTATTATTATTATTATTATTATTATTATTATTATTATTATTATTATTATTATTATTATTATTATTATTATTATTATTATTATTATTATTATTATTATTATTATTATTATTATTATTATTATTATTATTATTATTATTATTATTATTATTATTATTATTATTATTATTATTATTATTATTATTATTATTATTATTATTATTATTATTATTATTATTATTATTATTATTATTATTATTATTATTATTATTATTATTATTATTATTATTATTATTATTATTATTATTATTATTATTATTATTATTATTATTATTATTATTATTATTATTATTATTATTATTATTATTATTATTATTATTATTATTATTATTATTATTATTATTATTATTATTATTATTATTATTATTATTATTATTATTATTATTATTATTATTATTATTATTATTATTATTATTATTATTATTATTATTATTATTATTATTATTATTATTATTATTATTATTATTATTATTATTATTATTATTATTATTATTATTATTATTATTATTATTATTATTATTATTATTATTATTATTATTATTATTATTATTATTATTATTATTATTATTATTATTATTATTATTATTATTATTATTATTATTATTATTATTATTATTATTATTATTATTATTATTATTATTATTATTATTATTATTATTATTATTATTATTATTATTATTATTATTATTATTATTATTATTATTATTATTATTATTATTATTATTATCCTGGTGGAATATTCTACCATATAACAAGTGCTTTTAAAACCTCTAACGTTAATAAGCCTAAAACGCTGATTTAAATAAGTATTAATTTGTTTTAAAGTGAACTAGTGCAACTGTGGTGCATAAACAGTTTGTACAAATGTGGGTTTGTGAAATAACTGTGTATTAAGCCGAAAATCTGCATTTGAAGATACCACAGGTACACTATTTTTATCTGTATACATTATTTTGACCATTATTTCGACCACTTTTTGTCTATCTTGACGAAAATATTCCACCACGGTTAGAAATTTAACAGATTCTTGTTGGATATTTGCTGTTTATTTTGTGATTTCTGTTAATTATTTTGTGCAAAATGGGTGATAATAAATGCAAGAGATGTAAGAAGAGCGTTACTACAGGACTAACATGTGTTATTTGTGGAGTTGTATCGCATCCTAGTTGCTTAAAATCTGTAAAACATGCTGTAATAATTGATGATAACACATGTAATTGTTGCTCAGACAATTCCAGCGAACAAATACCACCATCTGTAAGTCATAAGCCATCATATTCAATTTCTGAATTAGAAATGAAAGTAAAATTTCTTGAAGAGATTATAAGAAACAAAGATATGATTGTATACAATCAAGAAATTGCTATTAGGTCATTACAAAGCCAAGTTGATTTGCTGAAACAAGGATCTATTGTGAACACGTCCACAAAAATAAATAAAGCGGAATCTCAGCCAACCGTTTTTCATCCAAATAATCGTAACACGGCAATTCACGAATCTCAAGGAAATTCATCAAAACCTGCTTTCACCAGCACGGTAGTATCGTCCGCTATTGCCAATGCTCACGCATCAAATACATGCCATAATTTAATTCATATGAACAAAGACTCCACCTCTCATAGCGAGTTTTACAATCTGAAAGCTAAAAAACCAACAAAAAAGTTGTTGACTGGAAATATGAATGCTGACTCAAGTTTTAACCTAAAGGCATCAATCACACAAGAAATGAAATATCTGCACTCTACTAAGTGGGATCCCAACACCGTGGAAGATGAACTGTCAAAATATCTGCAAAGTATTCTACCAGCTATAAGAGTCGAAAAATTGAATGCAAGATACCCTCTCGATTATGCATCTTTTAAAATATCAGTTCCTGCTGCGGATATTGAAAAAATTTTACAACCAGAATTGTGGCCAAGTGGTGTAATCATCAATGAGTTTTTTCCATCGAGAAGATTTCACGGAAATCGCGCCGAGAAATTCAATAACCAAAAGTAATGGTGTTAATTGTTCATATAATTTTTCTATTTTTCACTTAAATGTTCGGAGTCTCGCAAATAAATGCCACGAATTATCAACATTTTTTTACGATAATTTATTTGATGTAATTTGTTTTTCAGAGCATTGGCTCAATAAATCCTGTTTAGATGTAATAAAAATAAATGACTATGTATTAGTGTCTGACTTCACTCGATGCACTAAGCAGCATGGGGGAGTGGCAATATTTTCAAAACCAAATATTAAATGTAAACCAATAGATTTGAGTAAATTCTCAATTATTTATGATGCCGAGTTCTGTGGAGCTGAAGTAAATAACTGTTCAACTGTTTTAATTGCTGTCTATAGATCTTCTAGTAGAGACAATTTTAATATTTTTAAAGATCAATTAATCAAGCTCCTTGAATACTTATATAGAAAATATAGCAATATTATATTGATGGGCGACTTTAACTTAGATTTTCCTGAGAATGGGAACAACGCCAAAACTATTTGTGAAATTTTTTTGTCATTCGGATTGTATTATAAGATTAACGAACCTACTAGATCAGTTTTAAACAGTGAATCATGTTTAGATAACATCGTTACAAACCTTGATCAAGATATTATAAAAGTAGGAACGGTAGACCCACATATATCTGACCATAATGGTCAGTATATTTTTGTTACTATGCCAGGAGGCAGAAATAACGTAGAGGTTAATAGTTCCAAACGGATTATTAATAACAAAGGCATGACTAATTTTGTGAACTCTCTGTCACTGATTTCCTGGGATACTTCAATTTTGGATGACCTAAACGCCTCAGAACTGGGAACGTCTATATTGAGCATTTTAAAGCAAAACATCGATTTATGCTTTCCAGAAAAAAGAGTTAAAGCAAAGAATCAAGAAGTAAAATGGTTTAACAGCAAGTTACGTGACATGAGAAAAGAAGTTAGTAATGCTAAAAGTACATTCAAACTTACAAAATCTGAATCTGACTGGTGCGAATATAAAATTCTAAACAAAAGTTATCAAAAGGCTATTAAAGACGAAAAGAAAACAGCATATGCAGATATCATTACCAATTCAGATAATAAAGTTAAATCTTGTTGGAAAATTATAAATTCTGAACGAAAATCAGTAAAACAAAAATCAGTTTGCTCAGAAATTTGTCCGGAGACGTTTAATCAATTCTTTATAACCATATCTGATACTATCTTAAAGTCCATAGAAAATTCTAAACATGATTCAACGTTTTACTTAAATAAATTAACAAAACCGTCTTTCTCTTTCTTTATGAGTGCTATTTTAGAGGCTGATGTATATCAAGCGATTTTAAAATTAAGTAATTCGACTTGTTTGGACTACTATAACATAAATAGCAGAATGATTAAACAATCTGCCAACTTTTTAGTTCCTCCGCTTACTTTATTTTTTAATAAGTGCGTGGATGAAGGCTGTTGGCCAGATATTTTAAAAATCGCTAAAATTCTACCATTACACAAAAAAGGTAACAAGGACTCGCCTGGCAATTTCAGACCAATTGCAATCTTGCCAACTATTAATAAAGTTTTTGAACTTATCATTAAAGAAAAACTGATTTCTTATCTTGAATCGAAGTCACTATTAACAGATTGTCAGTTTGGTTATCGGAAAAACAAATCCACCATTCGTGCTCTAATCAATCTCTTAGAAGAGGTAGTTCAAAACCTAGACGAAGGCTTAAGTACAATGGCTACAATGTACGATTTAACGAAAGCCTTTGATTGCGTGCCTACAGAGATCTTGTTACAAAAATTAGAATTTTACGGGATTCGAGGAAGAGAACATAAACTTTTTGCTTCGTATTTAAAAAATAGAGTTCAATACGTTGTCTGCGATAATAAACAGTCAGACATTCTGCCAATATCAAGTGGAGTGCCTCAGGGTTCGATATTGGGACCCATTTTGTTTATTATTTATATAAATGATCTACCAGGAGCTATTAAGGAGTTTTGCATCCTATTCGCTGACGACACCACGATCCTGTCAAATCCCAATGAGATGGATAGTTCTGACGTAATCAGAGACTGGTTCTCAGCAAATCGATTGCAACTAAATAATGCAAAAACCAGTCATTTGTTGTTCAGCTCGGACAAATGGGCGTCAATATCGGATCCTGTAAAATTATTAGGCATACATTTGGATACAAACTTAAACTGGACATCTCATGTAAACAATCTCTGTTCCAAATTGGCGACTCAAATTTTTATTATTCGACAACTGAAATACTGTATGCCTGATCACTTACTACGGTCTATTTACTATGCGCTATTTCACAGTAACATTTCTTATGGTGTGTTACTGTGGGGTAACTCAGTCAATGTACACAAAGTATTTTCTTTGCAGAAAGCGGTAGTAAGATTAATTAGTAATGCTCCTAAAAACACTCCTTGTCAATCTCTTTTTAAAAAACTGGAAATACTGCCTCTCCCTTGTGTCTATATAATGGAAACATTGATTGAAACACACAAAAATGTAGATAGCTTAAGTCGTCACAGAGATATACACAATTATGACACAAGAAATTGTAAAGATTTTGTAATTAATAGATGTAGAATTAAAATGACTAAGAACAACACTCTTAACATTTCTCTGTACAATTATTTTAGAAAATTTTTTATTCATGTAAATTTTGACTCAATGACAGAAAATCAATTTAAAAAATTTACAAAAACATTTTTATTAAATTACTGCTTTTATAGTATTGAACATTTTATT